AGAAGTGAGATATATAGGCTCAAAGTGGACGATCCGGGTGTCGTTCTATTAGAGGTTTTACGGTATGTCCATCCACCTGAAATGAAATGATTTTTATTTTCGACTGTCGACTTGTAACTTCTGGTCAGAATTTGAGGAGCTAGCTCGGCTATTGAGCAGATATTGGTCAGGTTCTAGTTGGAACTTGCTCAAAACGGCTATATGTATGGTTGGTCGCCTTTAGTTGCGGTTCTATTCGGAATGTGACCAACCTCTGGCCGAGTCTGGCCGAGTGATCAACCGAGTTGCTAATATTTCAAGAGTTAGACTTACCGTAGATGGTATTGTGAGGTTTATTCCTAACTTGTTAAAACTTCCAGGGAATCTCACATACTCCATGGTGTCGTTTTGCAACCTCTGTGATCCTCCGAAGAGATCGTAAAAGGAGCTGAGATCAGCTTTCGAAACACGATCAGAATTCGCATCAAACTTCTAAAAATGGTCAAAATGACCGAAAATTAACTGAAAATACGTTTTTGCGTATCTTACCGAACAGTACTGTATGCTAGCGGCACTGAACACCGTCACATCAGAATGCCTCTAGTAACTTTAAAAAATTCTGCAAAAATTGCCTGAATCTTCTCCTTCAACAATTTTGAGAAATATTCTTTGAGATCAGCAAAATGTTTTTTGATCTACCAACATAATTTCGCCCGCGCGGGGGTAACAGTCGATTCGCTGTTGATGAAATCGTTCTCTTTGAATTTTTCTCTCACTTTTTTCCATGCGTTTTTGTTTATTTTTTGAATTCAAATATCCTTTTTTCAGGTATGTCCGACCCAAACGTAACACCCCTGCTCCGTTATTTTTTCCCGGCGGAAATCCTGAAATCGCTTCAACTAACCTCAAATAATGAATGCACCATTCCTGACATCAGAGCCAAGCTCTATATAAATTCAAATGGGAGCATCGACGACCTTTTAAAATTCAAATCGTTTCCGGGAAGTGTCAACAAGTTCCATAGGAATATGGCGGATCCTTACATGGTGAGATATCAACATAAATTTCAAAAATCGAATCCCGTAAACCACCAACTTTGAGCTTGTTTATCTCGCCTCCTGTAGAATATAACAAAATGTGGTCAACTGACAAAATGTTCATCATGTTATTAAAAATAGTTTGTCAGTTGACCAAATTTTAGTATCTTTCTCAAAAACCGAGATAGATAGGCCCAACTAGAGTGTACGGTATGTTTTTTCTTTCAGATGGATACCTATATGTACTATGGGATGAATGATGCGGACAAGCCATTTTTCTACAAACACGACTTGCTGGTTTATTTCGAGCAGTTTGTTTTCCGAAGAATCCGTCTACTTCCATTCATCATTCCTGCGATTTCCTTTTATTTCAAATGCAAAGAAGATGAGCTAGGAAGCGGACGTTTCGAGTTGGCCCCACTGAACACAGATGCGATTGAGAAAATTGAAGAACAAATTGAGAGGTCTATAGAAGTGAGAGGAAATAAAAGTACAAGTTTCAAAAAAAAAGTCTCTCTATTTCAGAAACTTCATAAACACGACAAGGCGATAATCAGGGAGCCGTTCCCTGAATTCAGTTATCAACAATTTTGTGCCAGAATCACAAAAATTAATTTTATTGACAGCAGTGACCTGGGGCCTCTTCCAAAAATATTAAGTGAAAATCAAGCCGAACTGTCATCTGATGCAAATAAGAAACTCTATCCTAATATCATCATTTGGATTCATACAATTGTCACGGTTTTCAATTCAATCACCGAATCGCATCCCGAATTGTTCCGGCCAAGCTCGGTTTCAAGGAAACCCGATGATCCGGTTATTATTCGATGTTTTGAGGATGATCATAAACTTTACATGATGGATTTCGAATTTGTTCTAGCTAAGACACCTCTGGTAGTGAGCCATCAACTGAAACCTATTGAGGATATGAAGGATGCGATCAAGCGGAGTGGAGTGTACGAGACGGTTTTCGCCAATCAGCTTAAAGCCAGACTAACGAAGAATAGAGAGGTGAGAACTTAATATAAAGTGCCCTTCTATTACGGGGATTCTTTTTGTTTTATGGTATCATCCGGAGTGGCGCCTCCAAAATTTAGCACCCTTCCGGAGTCTAAAGCTCAGCTCTTAATTGTAAGTGTTCGATCACTTTGAAAATTTAGAAGGGTCTAAAACATACCTAGATTGGAAACTTTGGATTTTGAGAGTTTGTTGGGAATTTCGAGTTTTTTTTAGCTATTTGCCGATTTCTGAAAGAAACCTGTTTTTTCCACGTTTTCAGCACAGAAACGGACCAAAAAAAATCACTGAAAAACTACGAACCTTCGAATAAGTGTGTGAATGCAAAGTTTTAAATCTAGGTCCGTTTTAAACCCCTTAAAAATTTCAAAGCGATCGAAAACTTGACAGCCGAGCTCCAGACTCCTGAAAATGGTCAATATGGACAAAAATCAACTGTAAAATACGTTTTCGGATGTCCCTTTTCAATGACCGGTACTGTGAAAGCGGTGAATAAGCCACGCCCTATGACCACTAATTATCGCTGGTTTTTCATACTAACCTCTTTACTTTTTTTCAGTACGTCAGACACCCGATCCTCCGAACCAACAGACGAGCCGTCCCGATTCCAACATTTGACGGAAGACATTGTATCCTAGCTTCGGATCTTCTTTTTGAAATCCTTCGTGATATGTGCTCAGTTCAGAATGTCTTTCAAAAGATCAACACGAAAAATTGGTCCATTATCAACAACTTGTTCAAAGATCTTGCTGGAACATTTAATGGAAAACTTGGACCGTTCTTCATCGATACGGAAAAATCTGAAGCTGTCAGAAAGAAGTGTGTGACTCATATCGAACAGCATTTGGGACCCCAGTTGAAAGAAGTGAAATTCATAAAGGAGTTTAACGGATTTGTGCTGAAAGATGTGAAGAGTACCATCAAGTTTCTAGGGCTTACAACTGCGTTTCCGAAAATTGCGGATTTCGCTGAACACGCTTTCAAAACAGTCAAACAACGAAAAGGCGAGAAGAAATTGGATACTCGAGACATGTTCACAGCATTGGAGATTTGTCAGCTGAATTGTATTCTTCCAAAACTTCCAAACCTCCAAAAATTCGTTCACAATCAAGGCGCATGTCTACGTAATCACCTCCACTGTGCCAAATGTTTGCAGGCTCATCCGGAACCTTTAACTGAGCCTACATTGTTTAAATGGGTCACTGCTGAAACTCCTGGAGCGACAGTTGTAGCTAGAAAATGTGATGCTCCAGACCCAGAAGGGTTTTCCGAGTCCTCTGAATCAGAGCTTCCAGCAGAACTTCTAGCAGAACTTAAAGCAAAATATCCAGAACATTTTCCAGCAGCAAATGTGGAACAGGTGGAGAATGAGGAGAAGGAATTACAGGAAGAATCCAATGAAACAAGTCCAGAATCCAGAAAAGAAGAGCCGGAGAAAGAAGAATCATTAGAAGAATCATCAGAAGAACCCTCGGAGAAGCCTGTTGAAAGTATTCTCAACAAGCATTCTGCATCCTGTCCGAATTCATCATCTCAAGCTTCCACAGAAGAAGACAAAGAAAATATCCCAGCATCGAATCCTCAGGAAGAAGGGTCCAGCGACTGTGAACAATGTGAAAACCTTAGAAAGTTTAGAGATGCGATGAAAGAACTAATAGGAAATTGTATGTCTGGGACGACGGAAATTTTGAAGGAAACGAGAAAAGATCATAAGGAACTAGAGAACAGTCTGAAAAGTTATGGACCGATTCGGCTGTCGGACGACAATCGGGAACTTTTTGACAAGTGAGATTTTGGATTTTTGTTCAAATTTTAATATAAATATTATTTCAGGCAATTCGAGAGAATCATGAAAAGGTCTGATTGGGATATAACGAATTGCGGAGATGACATCCGACCATGGCCATGGTTCCGAAAATGACTTTTTCATTTTTTGGTTTACTTTCTTAACATTGAAATTATTTCATTCTTATTTTTTGAAAATCTGTAATAAATGTGGCCATGTTTGTAAAGAATTGTATGCAATATGCAGTTTTGACTGGCTTGTATTAGATAGGCCCCTCACAATGCACGCTCTCCCACAGAACAATTCCGAACTGCAAATTAATTTTTGATCTACAGAAAAAAAGCTTGGCGCGATCACAATTGCAGGTCTAAAACCATAATTTCAGAATTTTTTATCTGATTTTGTGGAGATTGAAGATGATTCAAATGATTTTTTAAAAATTTATCAGTGGTTATAGATTCATGTATGGTCGTTTTCCGGAAGAAAAAAATGTCAAAAATGATCGTTTTGAAAGTTTTTTAGAGAAAAATTTATCTCCTCTTTCAGTTTTTGACATTTCTAGGAGTTCTATAGTTCAAAAAAACCGCAACTATTTTCTCTACATTTTCTATGGATGAATTTTTAATTTGTCTGATAAAACTTTTTTATAATTCAAA